ATTAGAAAAATCGACAAAAACAGCATTAAAAGCAAAACAAATATATACAAGAAAAAGGATTATAAAGACATATGTATGACCATAAAACATTTACAGCAAAGCACCAGCCACGAGCGCACATGCACACGGCGTCAAGCGACACTGCGTCCCATGCGCCCTAAGTCGGTGCTTTACAGTATTACAAAACATGTGGAGGAAATTATTCATTATTTAATTTGTCGTATTTTTAATACTGCATAAACATTTCATTTTTCAAAAGTGTTTGTAATATATCAACAGCATTTTTATTTAGTATAACATCATTGTCTAAGTCATTCCATAACTTAATTCCATTACAACGTAAGGAATTTTGACTGATTGTAGTTTTGGGAAGAAAATTGATAAAAATCTACGTATTGACGGGTGAAATATGAGTGATAAGAGGCACTTGTATTAAAAAAGATCATTAAAAATATCTGGCAAGGCATTTGTATCATGATAATGACACATAAACATATAAGTATACATAAGTACAAGATCAGAGGTTTTCAATGCTTTACATTCAAGGAATAAATTGCTTGTGTGACTATTAAATGGTGCATTACAAACTGTTCTTATTGTTTTTTCTGAGTAACAAAAAGTCTATTCAGGTATGATTAAATGTATTTCACCAAATCATACTACAGTAAGTGAGATGAGGCAAAATCAAAAGTAATCATAACATGTCTAGGTAAAGTAAAATTAAGTCTGCGGGGGACACCGTTAGGTCTGCATAATAGAGTGCATAATTCATCAATATGTAAGTTTCCAAGATAAAAAAATCATTTATTTTGATACCTAAGAAGTTAATATTTGATACTTGAGTAATAATCTTGCCATCCATAATGACTTGTGGAACATCATTACCAGCCTTTTGTATTCTTTGTTTTAAAGAGAACATACTTGTTTTTTTTCCAAAATTTAAAGCCAGTTTATTGCATTGCAAACAGATAACAACAATATGGAGTTCCTTATTTAACAGTTGAATGAGTGTACTGTTTTGTTGTGGAAAGAGTATTACTGGTGTCATCCGCAAAAAGTATTAAATTAAGAATTGAAGAACAATTTCTAAAATCATTAATATATAACAAAAATAAAAACGGGCCGAGAACAGACCCTTGCGGAATTCCGTATAGTACATGACTTAAACATAAAGTTGAGTTCTGTTCATGCAAGTACATTGTGAAAGAAACAGTGTGGAATCGAACAGAAAAGGTTGATCATCTAGCATATAAGTATTGGTGTGTACTGCAAGGTTCTGGAATCATCGAAATTATAAGAAATTTGACCCAGTCTTGGTAAAATTACAAGCACTGTGCACAGAAAGATGTATATGGGACTACACAAACATGTGGCATACAAATCCGTCCCGATTGTTATGCTGTTACACACCATATTTAGAATATTAAGGCATTTGGAGAGCCATGCTTTTCAGGGAACAATTTTTATCTGATGTTCTTCCACACTTGCATAATTACAATGTTAATGCTCACAAATTATTTTTCACCTCTTCCCAGAACTCAACCTTTTCTTTAAAATCTGATTTGATACCGTTGACCACAATAACTGCATACAATTCGATAAATAATCTTGAAACCAATTAAGAGCATGACCTCTGATTCCATAATGTTCCATTTCTTGGAGAAGTATGTCATGGTCAACGGTGTCAAATGCTTTTGAGAGATCTAAAAATATACCAACAGTTAAATTACCCTTATCTATTTATTGCGTTATACGATCACGCATTAAACGATACGAATTGTTTAAATCTAATGTAGGTTGATTAGTAATTAATTGTAGTTTGTAAATATGATACTTTTGTCTAAGATTGAATGTACTATTGTCTAAGAATCGCCACTTTTTGTAAAGCGCTTAGAAACGTTTTGTGTTAAGCGCTCGAGACTGAAATGCAATGTATTATATATTATTTATTATATACCTCACTTAAGAAATCCAGCCATCTGATTGGTCGAATTGCATTCATAAACTTCAACTGTTCCTGTAAAATTCCCGGTAACCATGCATAAAACATTTCAATATTTTTAATAACCATGGTTATTAAAAAAATAGGTCAGTCTCCATGGTTACCCCATAGGTTTACATGTTAAAAAATGGTTTGAGCGATGGAGGATACCATACGTGTGCGAAAAATTGGTCGGCAATTTCAATACAATTGAATCTCGATCGATCTTACCGACAATTTTATCTTGCATTGTTGACATGAAGACGAAAATTAACTCTCAAAAACAAAAAACAACATCTGCCGATAGATCTTGATCTAAGTTCGTGCCAATATGCATTGCAAAAGTAAAAGAAGGGTCCGTTTCATGGAGCTTTTGCGAAGCATCCCTCACGCGGAGCCGTTTTCAATTCATTTTAATGTATATATTGGAAAAAAACTGCCAAGCATGTTAACGACGCGCGATAGCCGAGTGGTCTAAGCGTTGGTTTTCGATACACCTCTTGTTGTACGCAAGAGTTCGAATCCCGTCTTCGACAAAATTGAAAATTATTTTTTATTTTTTATTTTTTAGTCTATTTTTTTTCGGCATATAAAAGTATTAATGACTGCTTTAATATTCGAGAAATAGTTGTTTTATTACGCTCTCGGGAAGGTTACAATTGGGCTATTCCCCTCGGCAAGCCTCGGGGAATAGCACAATTCTAACCTTCCCTTGAGCGTAATAAAACAACTATTTCTCTCAAAGCAGTCATTAATACTATATTATTATTATTATTATCATTTATCATACATATGAAATATTGGCATGTATGTAGGATATTTTTTACGAAAACCGAATTGTTGCAAGATCAATATATTATTATAGTTCAGAAAATCATATAAACGTTCAAAGACAATTTGTTAAGAATATTTTTGAAAAGAAGGGTAAATAAGAAATTGGTTTATAATTAACAACATCCTTGCGGTCACCCTTTTTAAAAATTTGAACCATTTTTGAAACTTAGAGTGTGTTAGGAACTTCGCCATATTCAATAGACATGTTAAATATATGACAAAGAGGAAAACATATTGATGTATACATGTTTTAACAATAGATGGTTGGCTGTCGGGAAAAGGCTGACTGACTACGGGAATAGACCGTTGGCGATCAGGAAAGACTGGTTTCATCTAACATGGACAGAGCACAATCACAAGATATCATACTGGCTGGGACGTCGCCCAGGATAAAAAGGTCCCAGGATCTAACGGATATTGACCAGGAAGCAAACGACAATGATTTAAGCCTGCTGGTTTTATCGACTGATGCGTGATTTGTGAACGTTAATTCAAGGGCGCTAGAGGCGTGAAGATACATCAAGCAAAGACGAAATATGTTGGGTCTTTGAACCGATGATCAGAAAGAGGGTCTGACAGTTCTTGGCGAACAGCTTCACCAGGAGGTTTTGCTCATAACGAGGAAAGAGAGATCAGCGAAAAAGAGGGAGAGAAAGAGGACAAGGATCAGTTTCATGCAAAACTCTTTCAAAACCGCTAAGAGTCTACTTGAACCAGTCTCGAAGTCAGAGCTAACTTGTTCAAAGGATGAGTTGGATAGACATCTTCAGCAAACATACTCAGCTACTTCAAATGAGGAGTACGAACCTTGGCAGGATAACATCCCCCCAGATCTACCGTCCGAGCCTTTTGATAATGCGTTACCAGCTTTTCAGGAGCTCACGAATGTTCTTCGCAAGACCAGGAACGCTTCTTCTCCCGGGCAAAATGGGCTTCCGTATAAAATGTACACAAAATACCCGCGACTTCTTAAGATTATTTGGAAGCATATGTTGGTTGTATGGAGAACCAAATATACTCCCGTACAGCGGAGAGTTGCCGATGGGGTATATATTCCGAAGTCAGCCACACCAGATGAGAAGACAATTACAGATTTTCGCCATATTGCTTTATTGAATGTTGAGGCAAAGATGTTCTTCGCCATTCCTGCAAAGCGTCTCGAAACCTACATGCGAAAGAACGGTTATCTCGATACTACAGTACAGAAGGGAGGAGTAGGAGGTCATCCTGACGTATGGGAGCATGTTTCTACGCTTTGGGAGGTTATCAAGGTTGCAAAAACTTCTCAAAATAATTTGTTTGAAATATGGCTGGATCTCGCCAATGCTTTTGGATCAGTTCCTCATGCAGCTATTGCTTTCGCGTTGAAATGGTACCATCTGCCGGAGTCCTTAGTTTCACGGATTGACAATTACTATGCTGGGCTTTACGCTAGATCTTCCGTCAAGCCCTGGAACTCAGAATGACAGAAATTTTCAGTAGGAATTTCCATGGGGTGCACCCTTTCACCAATACTTTTAGTCATCATCTTCAATCTCTTGAACGATTTTCTAAAGTCGACGCCTGTAAAGCAATATCATTATGTAGAAAAGAGACTTCAATGTTCCTGTAATGAAGGAGTATATGGATGATATAACTATCGTTACTGCTTCGGTTAAAATGCTGGTTCTATACTTTCAAAAGTGAATGACTTCATGGAATGGAGCAAGATGAGAATTAAGCCAGTGAAGTCACGTTCCTCAGTAGTGCATGGGGGCAAAGTAAAGCATATCGAGCCATTCGCCGTCGACGGCCAGACGATACCTGGAGTACATAATAAGCCGGTGAAGTTTCTAGGACGTCTGATTGATGGGATCCTGAAAGACAATGTTGCTCGTCAGGACATGATGGATTCGCTTGGGAGATGGCTTCATATTATTGACAAGTGTGTTTTGAATAGCGTCATGAAGTGCTAGATATATCTATACCTAATTGTACCAAGAATGCAGTGGAAACTTATGATATATGATGTACCAGTCTCAAAGGTAGAGAAGATGGAGACACTTGTCTCAAAGAAGCTATGTCACTGGCTAGGAGCAAGCAAGAACTTATCAAATATAGCACTCTACTGCCATCAGACAAAGTTGCGTCTCTAGTTTGAAGGACTCACGAATACAATGAAGAAGACGGTGGTGAATGCGGCACTTCAGTTGCGACACATCGAGACAATGTTGTCACTAGTATCAAGCCACAGTCTCGTCATGGCCGCAAGTGGGATGCTGATAAGGCAATATCTAGAGCGGAGGACAGTTTGCGGATGGGGGACATTGTGAGAGGTCAGGTTGGACGACGAGGATTGGGGGCTGGTCAACTCCGTAAACCTGTAAGAAAGCTCACTCAACGTGAATTCAGAACAAAAATTAGCGAACTAGTCGTCAAGGAGCATGATAATTTGAATTATGTAAAAGTTGTACAGATGCCAGTTCAAGGAGCTTGGACGTCATGGGAAGGAGTGCAGCAAAAGAAGCTGTCCTGGAGGAATCTATTTGATACCAGCCCTAAATTGCTGCAATGATTGGTTCGACAAACGACACTGTAGCAACACCAGCAAACCTGAAGCGGTGGGGATTAAGTGAAGACGATGCTTGCAAGCTTTGTCAACAGAGAGCAACGACTGCTCATATTCTTGTTGGCTGCCCAACAGGTCTCCAACAAGGCCAGTACGCTTGGCGTCACAACCGTTTACTGGGTATCATCGGGGATGCTTTGAAGACGAGGTTAACAGAACACAACCAAAAGCCGACCCGAACACAAGCATCCTATATCTATATCGTCAGGGAAGGAGAGGCTACAAATGGTTCAGGCAGAAGTTATACAGGAAGGCAGAGGACTTGCACTGATGGAGCTAGCGATTGGAACATTCGAATCGACTTGGGGGAGAAGTTATTTTTTCCTCCATCCATTGTCGTGACAAATTTGCGGCCTGATGTCGTAGTTTGGTCCCCCACTTTAAAGAGGTAATTTCGTCTGGAGCTGACGGAACCTCATGAGGCAAATAAGCAGCGAGCTCACGAGAGGAAGAACAGGAAATACGAAGAGCTGCTTCTAGAGGCTGAGCAGAACGGTTGGAGAATTGAACTTTGGGCCCATAGAGATAGGATGTCGTGGTTTCTCCAACAACACACTCCTCCGTGCTCTCGCTCGAATTGTTGTGGGCGCAAAGCTGAGGAACAAGATAGTGTCACTTTCTTGCTCATGCGCAGTAAAGGCATCATTTCATCTATGGCTCAGGAAGGATGAGCGAGAGTGGACACGCCCTATATATATTTAATCAGACATGACAACGCATCGTTGCTACATACGCGCAGCATCACTACAGTCTACAGATGCGCAGTTTTGTAGCAACAACATAGACGCATTTTCAAGCAACAGGTTAGTTTGAAATCCGTCTGGCCAGGTTGTAGACCACTTTATGTGTGTCGTCTGCATCAGAAACGGATTTAATTTTTAAACATCTGTCACATCTGGCCACTGAAGAAGAGTGTAACACTAACCTGTTTCTTTTTCTGTTTTTCTTATTTCTTGTTTGGACAAGTCATCGCCCTCCGCCTGCCGGGTGGAGGGTTTTTTTAGGCCTTTTTGTGGTTATTCACATGTCATCGGAGCTACAAGAAAACGGTGATTTCAAGGAGGAGCAGATCTTTAATACTTCATTTATATTAGTAGATTTCATACACATTCATTTGGCATTGTTACTGCCTAAATAGCTCATAAAATCAGTGCTACATTGAGGAATGTCATTGGCAAAATGTGTACCTATATTAACAAAATATTTATTGAAATACATGGCTTTCATTTGATTGCTTGCAATACATTCATTCCTACAGTAAATTGTGTTGGCAGAGAAACATGAGCATTTTCCCCAAAAATATTGTAACGAAATTTATTACAACTGTTACGCACACTAAAAGATTATTATAGTACACCCGTCAGCATGATAACACGGTCTGTACGATTTTATCTTCTATATTCACATTGAAATCGTACTTACCTGATATTATAAGATAAAAGAAACTCAGAACCAACACTCCAAAATAAGCCATCGTCATGTTACTTTTCTTGTCTTAAATACGTGTTTAGATCTCAAATATCGAGATATATAACACACGAAATATAATTAAAATCAACACGCGAAGACAAACTTCAGCTTTTGCATTCACCTGTGCGGAAATACTATGTGCGTGTGCATTCAGTAGGATACATGACATTCATGAATCAGTATACATTATACGACTAGGAAAATATTCCTCATCATTGTGGAAGTGCTAGAGTACAGAGATTTGAAATTTATGCGAAATGCTGCGCCGTGGAACGGGAAGGGGGGCGCAGGGCCCTGGTTCCCCTCACACCACGGTACAAAAACCAAGAAAAGTACCCTTTCAGCAACCAACATTTACGCTGATTTGTTTTTGTTTGTTCCGTCATTACAGCTAACGTGATCGCAAAGACTTTTGATAAATGTATTCAAGGGCAATTTTTATTTTGTGAAGGTCTTCTTTTAATTTCAATTACATTTCTCGAGAAAACAGAATTACCAAAAAACACAGCATAAAGATGTATTGAATAAATACAGAATAACTAAAGCTCATCTAAAGTGTTGGGAGCTCCAAATATCCTCATGAGATATTTTCTTTCTTCTCTGAGAAAAACAAATAATTATTTGTTCCTATATAATGCATTTATATCGACAGCGTACTGTTTATTGTACAGCGCCATCTCATGGACATCTCACAGAACTGATTTCCAAATACTCGTATTAGAACAGTTTTGCTAATTGTATGTGTTATAGTACATAGCTAATCATTTTCGTTTCCCACATTACAAAATATATCTCCATTGTGCTTTTAAATTAACTACTTGTCAATACCCTTGAATGTGAAGAGTTTCATAAAAATACAAACTCGAGTTCCACTTTACAGTGAAACATGTTCAACATGTAAACATGTGATAAATGACGTCATCCTTAATTTTGGTGGTTTCTCATATTTTATTACATCTGAATATTGGTGTATGTGCGTGCGTGTGTGAGTGTGTGTGGGGAGGGGTGTGTGCAAGTGGTCGCATGTGTTTGTGTGATATATATATATATTTTTGTTTCTGTTTAATATTTCGAACTGCTAAATATTAATCCAAAAACAATTTTCTCTTACTCTTCGAAACCTGGTTTTAAAAAAAGAGAAAGCAAATATCAGAATGTTGATTCATTTTATTTGCGCCAAAATAGGAATATGGCACATTTATCACGAAGGAAGTGAACTTTGGTCACAAGAAAATGGATCTCAATTCTTAGCTATTGATTTGGTATGGTAAATACATTCAGGAAAGCGTTATGACATGCAAAAACAAAATATCTTCCCTATCAACGTCCAGTATTATGTTTCCATATTCTTATTCGACAATAACAAATCGATGAAGACTGAAAAGCCTACATATGCATAACATAAATAAGCTTTTCATAATAGCCCATGAACTTTAAACATATTATATAGGGAATAAGTTTGTTAGCTCGCTTCGGATATGCTGATAAGGATTTTTTTTATTCTTCAAGTTATGAGCAAAATTATATACTTCACCAATATATGTAGTCAAATCTAATCATGTCATTTTCTTTCACTTCCATAAGATAATGCACTCGCTATGACTTCTATTTTAAACATTATGTTTGGCTAAATGATATTATGTGAATAAATAAGAACCTATCATGTATTTCAATTGTTTCTTGATATTCTGACTTTATTCATTAAGTTGAAAGCTTAGTGGATCAGTGAAACACGTACAAGAATTCTCGTTGTTTAATGCTAATCTGATAAGTAAAATTATTGATATGCAGCCATAATCAGATTTATAAATCGTATCAATAAGGCTTGTTTTGGGGCTTATTCCTTTGTTTTTTATTAATTTGTTTACATGGATTATTTTAATTGTCAATCGATGGTGTCAAATTCTGCCAATCTTTCTTGGAAATTAACCTTTCGAATAATGTATAGTTTTGTACGTTTTAATTGTCGGGCTTATTCGAGGAAAGCGAATGGGGGGGGGGGGTGAAAGGGAAGAAACAACACTATTTAACCCCCCCCCCCCCAACTCCACCATCTTTAACAAGAATTGTTTGTATACTATAAGGAAATGATGTCAACTTAAAGGGGTCATTTAACATTGTTAAATCTGAGATACACGGTCCTACATGTTACCAGTGTCTGAGATACGGTGTTATATGGAAGCCCTACACAAAACGATCAAGAAGTGCCTCAAAAAAGTAAAAATCTTTGAGTGACCGGTTTTACCATACTCGTTTTCCTCAATAGACTGTAGTGTTATGAAAACCGTTCGGCCAACGGTTTTCAAAATTTGTAATTCCAATCATTAATATCTTGATAATCAGACAGGCAATCGGCTTGTAAAAGTAATGGAGTTCCTGACTGACCTAAAGGTTTATAATTATCATTGCAGCATGAGCTAAATCAAGGATTATTTCTAAATGATCTAAGACAAAGTTACGGGATCCCTTTAATGGAAATATATCTATAGTTACTGTTATCTGGGAGGTGGGATCTGGTGAAGCACAAACAGATCATTCGTAGGGGGGGGGGGGAGTTTAGGGGTAAACCTGATCGTGTTGCTTTTCCTCTCCACACAATGAATTAAATGATGTTAATGATGATGAACAAATAACGGGATGGATAAGATAGCGATGCCTGCAGAGGCACCAGAACTGAGACCATTACAGGTAGACGGATAGGGAAATGGCTCTGTTTTAATTAGAAATATCAAGTAAACATAAGAAAAATAATTCAACCACATGCAAGAATAATCAATACAGAAAGGAAACGAATCCTAACTGCCCCTTGATTTCATGATTGATGTTACTTCACTCATCAGTTAACAAGCTGTATTTACATACAATGTTTATCAGGTTCTCAAACAATACATACATGATGCTGGTAGAGCAATTCAACAAAATCAGGAAGGAAGCCTATAGGGTAGAAGTAAGACATGCCTGTTGTTAAGACATATTAAGACATATTAGTTGCTTTTGACAACTTTCTCCTCCTTGTTTCCAGAATTGTAATTCATTTGGGATCTTGTGTAATCTTGTTACACAAAAATGCTAAACCAGAATCTGAAGTCATTAAAGAAGTATGTGTTCGACTTCTCTCATATTGCTCTCTTGAAACGCACAGCGTGAACAAGATACACACACACACAATAATAGATCACATCCATATAATTAAAATACTTCTTACATGTTATTAATCTAGTATTGTGCATTTTATATTATTTATCAACTGAGATAATAAAATAGTTCCAATAATTAGATCATTATTCTGGGTTTACAAAACTGCATGGCATAGACTTAGACTGTAAGAAAAACACAGTCACCTTCTGATATTTCTGTAATCGCTTCATCAGGAGTGAAAGATTCCGTTGGAGAAGATAAATATACTTAGTATAGGTTATCGAATGGGCGCAGACGATACGACACGGATCATTTCAACATTGTTTGTGTTATAATTATTATTATTTGTATTATCATTATTGTTATTTGTACTGCTGCCACTACTATTACCACTACTGCTACTACTACTACTACTACTACTACTACTACTACTACTTTTATTATTACTATAATTGCTACCATTACTAATATTACTACTACCATTACTCCTAATACTATCACTACTGCTACTACTACTACTACTTCTACTACTACTACTACTACTACTACTTCTACTGCTACTAATCATAATCCGTCTTCTACCACTACTACTACAACTTTCCCTATTTAAATGAAATAAAAGACATGCCTTTTGTTTTGAAAAGCCAGTTGATATAAGTTACAAGTTACAAGATACAACTTGGTCCTTGCTGCACTTTTTCCTATCTGAAAAGTGATTATTACTGCTATGATACCTTTAATTGCTGTTATCACTTCAAATGCAATACTTTTAGGCAGATTAAATATATTTTGAATATGTACGGTGTCGATGGTAGCAAATGCACATCGTATGAGGCAATATCATCCCTAAGAAACAATGAATATGGAAATAAGAGAAGTATCTATGAGAAAGAGTAAAATAGTTTTAGGTAGACACGTCCAACATCATCTACAAGCTTTATGACTCACTGGTTTTAGTCATATCTTGTTGGTTGACTTGTTCTATTTCTAAGATGATTTCCTGTTACACAAGTGAAGTCTGTCCATTGGTCAAATTCTGATTCTGGAACATCCACAGTTTCAGATTATCATTGGAGTATATGTAGTAGCTCCCTGTGCGTGGATTAGGTTGGTTTGCATCAGAAATGTCACATGACACTCTGAGGCTTGGATCAAGAAACTTGAATCCCGTTATTATAATATCAGCACAGGAGACACCTGAATAAAAGTAAGCATGGACAATTAAAATATACACTGATGGGATAACTATAATTAATCACAATTATTAAAACAATTTATCGAGAGAAAACAAATCCAAAACAAATTTAAGAATAGTTCACCGAAAGATGCATACCTGATCCTACAGTTTATCCTTCTGATTGCAGCCTTTACAATGTCCAATATGATAACCTCATTTGCATAAAGTAGGGATAAACAGTCTTGATTTAAAATCTATATCATAGTATGTTGCATTACAATTGGATATTACATAGACATACATGGATATCAGGAGAAAAAAATAGAGTGTCTTAAATTTATGAAAAAGGAAGAATCATTCACATTGTCTGTTTGGATCCATACAGGTGTTTACTCATATCATTTGTGTGTAAAAGTAATCATTTTGTATGAATTACTACGAAAAACAATTTTGCTATATCTATTTGATTTCAATTTTCCCTTAAATAGTAAATAAATCTTGGGTCATCGGGGGGCGTCGCAAGACAGTCCTACGAAATTGTTCAGCATCGTGGCATCATGCACCTTTTTTGTTCGACGATTTTTTTGTTGTTGGTGGTATCAATGTCTTGTGGCTGTCGAGAGTCTGTCATACTTCAGTCTTACGACTGTTGCCCAGAAAGTTCATTTTCCTTGTAAATGCAACTATACTTTAAACAAACATAACTTTGTTATTCCTGGCTCTTTTCTTCTGATTGAGGTGTCAAATGAAAGAGCAGAAAATGAACTGTTTGGAAATGTGATCTTCTCTCTGAAATTCAGATACCGTTTGCCAAATGACTTAATTGGTACCCTTTCTTCAAATTGTTTTTAATCACTCATGCGTGAAATATGCATCATATGAAAGAGGAGGATCTAAGCTTTAGAAATACGCGACATTTATCAATCATAATTGTGATTAAGTTATGATAAAACATCGATAATTCTCGGTTTCGTTTTTTTCTGGGACGCACTGTATATAAAATGTTTCTATTCTAAAAAGCTTTAATTTGCATTCAACGCGCCTGAAGGCCCGGTCACACAGGGAGGACGCATGGGGAACGCACGGCCAGCGCATGGGAAATTTGCAATTTTGGCTAGTGCGTTGTCGTGCGCCCAACTTTTGTCGAAGCTACAGCGAGCTGACACCAAATGCATAGCATGTTGCTAGCGCGCTGGACGCATACAGGGCGCATACAGGGCGCATACAGGGCGCATACAGGGCGCACACAGAGCGCACATGATAACAACTTCCACGAATGCACAGCGTGTTGCTAGCGCGCTGGACAAATGGTCCACGCATGCACCGCGTTCTACGGCGCACGGCCAGCGCATTGGAAATCGGAAAAGGCCGTGTGCCTAACTTTTGTCATGATTTTGGAAAAGCTAGCGAGCTGACAAAAAATGCACAGCGTGTAGCTAGCGCACTGTGCGTATACAGGGGGTGTGCTCCGCGTATGTCTGGCGCTGGTCTGGCGCGCTCCACGCATGTCTGGCGTGCCTTTGGCGTGTACATTCATGCGTCGAGCTCCGCGCACATTTTTGAGCATGCTAAAAAAAAAAACGACGCACACAGCGAATGACGACGAATGCATAGCGCTGGTCCAGCTTTGGTCCAGCGCGCTCGACGAACGAGTAACGAATGATGACGCACGCCTAGCGAACGACAACGCACTGGCCCAAATTTCCAAATGCAAATTTCCAATGCGCTGGCCGTGCTTTCCCCATGCGTCCTCCCTGTGTGACCGGGCCTTTAAACACACATGGAAGGGACAAAAATATGCTGGGT